GGCTGTTTTAAAATGATTAAATAAACAATTGATGGATTGCAGTGTTTTGGCCCAGGGCACTTCTTATTCTTAATTTTACAGACATTTCATCATTAGCTATCAGAAAAGTTTGGAAAAAAAATATGAAATATAAATGAGCAGCAGAGACATGGATGAGGGAGAGCTAATTGTAGAGACAATATGTTCCCAAACATGTTGCTCAGATACAAAAACAGGAGCTGTGCTGATGAAACTTTGCAGCATGTCATGGAAGACCAGGCTTGTCAGATGACGCAGACCACATCAAAATCGCAAGTGGCCTTGAAAAAAGATACCAATGACAGCACACATAGTGTCTGCTGTGTTTTGTTATCTTTCAGATATACAGGCACAGAAGTGTCCCCGTTTTACCACTGCATGTCAAAATATCACTTCCCAAACTTGATTCCTTTTCCTGATCACATGTTCTTGATCAGTTGTAAATCATGAAGATAGATCTAATGAATAATTATCTGTTATATCACTGTATTGTTTATTTCCACTACTCTTTTCATATATAACATTTTTTGCTTTAGTTTTTCTGTTTACTTGGATGGGAAGAACTGCAGTCACAGGAGAAATGGGTTTAAAATATTTATCGTCTAGCTGACAACTTATTTATTTTCATCCAGATTGCTAAAAAGTCTTTCAGGATTAAAGAAACTCACTCAGAACGATGTTAAGTATTGTTAGCCAACCTTCTGTTTTTTTATGTTGTTGACTGTATAATTTTATTCCCAATGATATCTATACTTATCTTAGCTTAGCTTAGCTTAGCTTAGCTTACATGAGTGGCACATACTGGGGTAACGGTCTGCTTGTAAAAACACTAAACTAGGGAAGCCGAGAGCCTATATAGTGGTTATGTCATGTGCCTTATGTGAGGAGGCTATAGCCCATGTCACAGAGGTCATGGGTTTGAATCCAACTTTGGCCCTTTGCTGCATGTCCTCCCTTACTCTTTCCTCCCAACACTTATAGTTTTCTTCAGCTTTCATATCTGATAAAGGCCAAAAATGGCTCCAAAAAATTACTTTAAAACAATAGAAAACTAAACTTGATCTTGAGCCAAAGTCTAGTCCCATTGTGTTTGAGATAGACCTTTTAGCCTATATGGTGAGCAGTGCTTTTCCGAAGGTGATTTAATTATGAGGGCGTCTTGTTTGTGTCTGTATCCAATTATGGTCAGTGGTTTGACAAACTGAATTTGTTTGAAATTTGATTCCAAGTGATTTTCAAGTATTTACAAATAACATTCTTAAAAAGAAACATGAATCATGTACTGTAACACCCCTCTTTGCCATGATGCAGCAAGTACGACTCTTCACTGGCTCAGTTGACAAACAGAAAACAAAACAGCGCATTATTGTTTCTGTTCAATGAATAAGAAGTGTCTAGGGCTTCTGGTCAACACAAGGCAGAATTTCTTACATTTGTAAATGCTTGTCAGTTCTGGTCATCAGGTCAGGATGACTGTGCACTTAGTCAAAGCTGTCGTGATCAGAGGACAAAACAACCACATGGTGCACAAGAGGATGACTTCCATTGCTTCATGGCCTCCTGTATGAGCACGGATTCAGCGCTCTGACTGTTCTGAATAAATCATTATATAGTCAGAGACAGAGCAAAATGCTGTATAGAACTTATGAATGTTGTTATATAATTCATAGCATTATATGTCAAAGTTCATATAAGAATAAACTTATGCAACTTGTATCTGCAGTCTCAACCATCAAGCTACTGTCTTGTTTCTCACTGTCACAAGTTTTTGTCGTAGAATGCAGGCCCATGATCTGTAGAAAACAATTTTCATCAGTCATATGATATACTCCCTCTCTCTGTCCCTCATCACTTCCCTTAGCCTCATATGACACCTGGGTGGATCCCTGAGAGAAATCAAGACATGAAAGAATCATGAGGTTACATGGGAGCTCTGGGCTTTTAAACTCAGCCTGCAGGATGAAGAGCTGGGGCTTTTTCCCAAATATAAACACAGATGGGCCTCAATGTTACTACTGGTACAGGATTCTAGTGGCAGAGCACATCTACAAGCCACCTTTAACCTTAAAATCACCTATGTAATGACTCAGGTCAACTTCTACCTCAAACCATTCTATCGTTTTCCAAAGAATTTCACCTTAAACTAAGACCTAGTACTGTATGAGAAACTTTCAGGGTGGAAGCTGGTGGTGCAAGTATTGGATGCAGCGGTGCCACTCGTTCTTATTCAGGTCCACAACTGTTGAACTGTGTAATTAAAGCAATATCAGAGCTGGTAAGAAGGGTATCTCCTCCTACACCCACACAGAAAATACAGACCCACAGGCAACTACATGTTATTAAACACTAATGATCTGGGCTGCATTTTGGAAGAGGCTAATATTTCATATGCCTATATAATAACAACAATTTGTTTCTTATATGTAGCTGTCACATTAATGGAAATATTGCCTTTAAAGGCTAGCACTGTTAAAGTGTCCAGGTTCAATGTCTGGATTTCTTCTAGAGAGATGCAACATCACTCTTTAAGAAGACATTACCTTTTTTTTTTTTATGTGCATGATAGTGAAAAGCAATTACTAGCTCACTAGCAGCACATTGATTTGAATTGAGGTCTGATAAGTGAGACAGCTATGGCATCATACGCGTTATGGTCCTGTGCTCACAATGACGCCGGTGATATCTGATGGTAGCTTTGTCATCATCCTACATATGCTGTCATCGGGATACAGGCGTCTCCTCAACGGGAAGAATGACTCTGTATTTACTGGCACTCATGTCGAAGCATGTTCAGAAAATCAGCTTGTAGCCAAATGGTAGCGAGCGAGCCCCTCCAACGTGAGAGCCATGGCACTTTGCATCTTTTACATTTCTAATGTGTGTACCAGATAACATCATTAAATGAAACAACACGCCTGAATATTGCTTATATGTTGGGACAGTCTCACTACGAGGAGAAAAAATAAAAAAAATCGTCGCTCATTCATTCATGATACTCAGCCATGCTTCAGGACAAACACCGTGAAAACGGGCGTAGAAATGCCTAGTGGAATCTACATTTACGTTATTATTGATTCTTCATCGAAGGTGTTGCATATTTTATTTGACTTCGACCATTATTGACGTTAAGAGACAAGGGTGGCGTTGCCAAAAAAAAAAAAAAAAAAAAAAGCAGAAACGGCTCTCAAAGGAGGTGGGGAATTGTGTTGACAAAGATATTGAAATAAATAATTAAGCACCCATTCAAGTCTATCTACACGCAGTCGGTTGATCCTATATCTAAGCTGCACCGTGCACAGATGTACGAAAAAGAAGGTACACGCCACGCTGCCGTTTACACAACCTTATTTCTCAACACACTTCGGCGGTGAAGCGTCCTAGCTATCGCGGCTACCTGTTAATCCCCGGCCCGGGAACAGCCCCGCTTCCTCCGACAGGCGCTCCATTGCTCGGCTTGATGAGCTGTCCAGAGTCCGGTGGTGCTGAAATGGAAGCCGGAGCCCCCGCTGCAGGGACGGCGGGGCCGGGCTGTCCCGCCTGTCCCTCCCCTTCCATGCTGGCCTCGTTCCCCATCGCCTCGGGATAGGTCTCGACGGAGAGAAACGATGTTGTAGGTGGTTCTACAGCTGTGGTAAGAACTCAGATGAAACTCAGCGCTTCTCCCCTTCCGCCATCATCACCTACAATTCAGCATCCCGCACGGAGCACGCGCGCTGACGGAGAGGGCGAGGGAGCGCGCTGACGCAATGGGTGGGAACTCGGGAGGCTGATACGTGAGCGTTCACGTTGTTCTATGATCTCAAGTCACCGCGCAAATAGGCTACAGCTGAGCCGACTGGGACCTCCCTATTCACGTAATGTCTACTCCTCATGAGGTCTATAGACCACTTGAGTTTATAATACCTATACGTACCTGATGGATCGTCATCGAATCCATGACTAAATATCCTTGGACCAAATATTTAGAATTCAACTATTCTTTATCATTTTTAATAACATTTAAAATTTTCTTCTCCTGGAAATCCACAAGAGGTAGCTAACCCACACTATGAATAACTGAGGCATTGAATCACAATATTGAATTAAAATTATTCGTTAATTATTGATTGAGTAGTCAAACAGGAGCTGGAGTTACATGAACAAATATTTTTGTAAACAATAAGAATAACTAAATATGTCAGATTCCTTAATTTCCCATGTTTAACGAAGAATGCGATTTTTTTGGCTATCCTATGATTTGAAGAAAACTGGAGAACAATTTATTACTTATGATACACATTGAAAACTCAATCATGTAATGCCATGAAAATGTTCTATATGTTGTTGGGCTGATGAAGTCTTGGTCAGTGAAAATGATAGGCAGGCAGTGGTGTAATAACACTGCAGTATGAATCCTAACATTTGCTCCACCAAAGATGTGCTGTTGAGATAATAAACTGTACCTTAAATATAACAAAAATCTTTTTCATTTGAAATATTTGATAGCAAAAGTTAATGACTTGTCCAAAACTCCACGTGTATGACACTTTTGTCTGACTAAATATGTACATAAAGGCCAGTGTGTGACAACAGTCACTTTGCAGTAAAAAAACAAAGTCAAATGTTGTTGTATATCGCCCTTGATTGTGGTAAACAGCTGATTATGAGATGCTCCCACACCATCTCTGAATGATTGCTCTCCCTAGTGTACACCAACTGTCACTACAATGAAACAATGAGGTTGATTTAACACGCCTACACACAATCTAATAAACAGACTTACACTAGCAAGACAATGTTTGTGATTTACAATTGGAGCATTCTTTGTTGAACGACTAGATAGAAACCCACCCAAATCCACTCACCATCATTATAAAACGTTGTTACACAAAATCAACCGCTGCATTCACATCCTCTTAAAGAAATTTGGATTAAAGAAAGATATTTTCATTGACTTTATTATCTTATGAACTAGCAAGCAAAAAGAAAAAATGAACTCAATGTACAGGTTAACCATTTAATGGATACATATGTACAAAAACACACAAGTGCACACGTCAGACTTAATATTCACTCGCTCTGAAAGCCATTTGTAGGTAGAAAAATAACCCCAGAGATTGTAATTCATCTGCAGGACCTTAAATAACCAACAATACATACACAGCTAGAGAGCTTAGGCAGACAAAACATTCCAATGTCAAGAGAAACCCCTTGAATGTATCATGACTTTCTCTCAAGTTTAAAATTGGCCATGAAGAATGTAATTAAAAGATGCTTTTCATGTTGTTAAGGGAATTACCAACAGTGTAACGGAACAGCTAGAACGGAAAAGCTATGGAGAAATTCGAAACATGGATTGTAACTTTCCAAACATTCAATACTTCATTGGCACAATAAAACAATGAGTGAGACTTTTTGATTTCAAATTGAATATTTCGCCACATACTAAACTGTACTGACTGCAAAACTGTAGAGAAGAGCTTATTAACAAGAATGAAGACTCAAAGAGTTCAGGTGCATTATGGGAACATGCCTTTGTTTCATATTTACAATCTGCTGATAAGAGTGTCACAAGAAAGAAGAAAATGTACAAGTAGACTAAAACGGTAGTACATATATACAGAAATGATTAAAATACTAACCAATCACATGGTTGATTTCATGAAAAGGAGGAGGTCTGACTAAAATACAACACCAAACTGCCTTGAAGAGACAGTTTGAGGAGTGCAGCATCAGTGTCTTTACTCTGTGGTGATTGATCACTGCTCACAGGATTGACTGATACACAGATGGTGTGATTGTTTGTATTTACTGGCGCTTTGCTTTGTAAGGTCGGGAGCGTTTCCTGCGGTCCGGTTTTCTCTGTTTGTGCAGGCGGCCGATACTCACTCCCTGCCGACGACGCACAGAGATGTTCTGTTCCACGAGGCTGGCCAGCATGCCTTCAGGAAACACCATGCATAACAATCAGTAAAGAAGCAGCAACGCAACATGTTTTAGCAGCACAGCAATGTTTTATTCAGCTTCTTTGGAATGAGAAATGTTAGTTTGTGTAGAACTTTTGTTCCAGTTGTTTTGTTTCTGTTAATGAGTCAAGATAAAATAAATATCACTATGTATTAAGATTGCATTCATCTATTCCAATTAACCCTCACAATTTAAAGGATTCAAAATGTATTCTGTCTCTACATCAGTCAAGAACAGACCAGCTTGACTAGAATTATTTAATGCCGTTATCTGAAGATAAACAGAAATGTATTTATCGCAAGAAAACAAGCTTTGTTTTCTCCATATCTCTGTTATCTCTTCATTATTATAATGCCAAGAAAATCTGTCTTTAAGTCGTGATTAATTAGCTTATCATGTAGAATTTGTTTTCTCGAAAAACCAAAAAGAAATCTTGTATCGGGGAGATGATGTCATGACAAATATGTTTCCAAGAATGGCGGTTCTCTGCATCGATAGTTTTTATCTGATAAACAAATGACCAAACTGTGTCATTTTCCCACAAAAAGTATGAGGACAGACTGTTTTAATGCACAGCCCTTTGCAGGGATGTCATTTTTTAATTTAGTCTCTTAATGACATGACTCCAAACTGACTTTGTAAGTTATCTGAGGTATTTAGTTAAAAACATATATCCTTAAATATGATGTTATGCATGTGCAGAGATGTATATTGACACTAATAATCCACCACAGGTATTGAAGTGGGATTTCAGGATAAAGGTTCAATGCTGATCTACAGTTAAGGATAAAATGGTGACAGAAAAAAGGATTTTGAGGATTACCTTCCTGGGCCAGCATGGATATGAAGGTGCAGATGAACTCGTCATAATTATGAGTCCTTCTCTGATCATCAATCTGTTTGAATGAAACAAATAATTTGGCTTTAATGAATCGAAAACAACCTTGCATCAAAATATTAGTTTGGTTTCAGGCAAAAAAAAAAAAACCTACTTTGAATTTCTTTCTCTTTTCTACTTCCTCCTTCAGGTACACTTCATAATTGGCGATGTCTGCTTCAACACACTTAAGTAGTGCAAGCAGCTCCTGCGAGAAACAGAAGAAGATTGACCGCTCTGTGTATTTGTTTATTACAATAAATAGTACACAGCTTAAGAAAACACTTACTAATTGGCAACACAAGCAAAAAAAAATAAATATGAGAGTGCTCTGTTGGCAGGCTGATAAGTAAAGCAGGCTCTATACCACAGTGCATTGTTGGAAATGCTCAGACTTACTTTGGGAGAGTATTTATCCCCAGCGGGCTTGCTGTCTGCAGCAGCTTCCACAGCGCTGAGCTTCTCCTTGCAGGGTTTTACCTCCGCTCCGTCTTTATTCTCCTCTTCTTTCACCTCCACAGATGGTCCCTCCTCTTCCTCTTTGACTCCCTGCTTTTCGTCTGCTGCGCCTGCTACCAGGCCTGCTTGCACTTTGTCTTTTATCTTCTCAGGCACAGAAGTCTGTTTTGTGCCATCAGCGGCCAAATCTACTGTGCAGACAAACAGTAACATCTATCAAAAGTGGCAACACGCAGACTAATATCATAAGAAGTGCATGTTATTTGCATAAACATCAACCTGCATAGTTTACTTCTCCTGTCCAAAATGATGAATATGCTCCGACTGTGCTCTAAATATTAAGTGACAGACTGGAAAGCTTTTAAACCACCTTTGTAAATAACATCCCTTGTACTCACCAGATGGAGGGAAAGCATAGATGACTCCATCTTCCTGCAGGTGTAGCAAGGCAATGCTGACAGAGGGACCCAGCTCTCTTACAGCACGGTTGTGTCTAGAGTCTAGCCTCAGCATCTCGTCTTCTCCAAACAGCACTCGAGACAGATGGGATGCAACAGGGCTGGACGGCCGCGTGGCAGCCTGGGAGCGTGCAGGCGAGCGCAGCGGAGAGTTGAAGGCACTGCCGATCTCAGAGGCGGTGTCAGTGCTTTCGTTGCTGGGTGTGGGGGAAGGCTGAGATGCAGATGTGATACAAATGCCCCCAGTGCGCCCTTCTGTGCGTACAGAAAGTGGGGTATTTAAGGCGTCTTTCCTTTGGGCCTCTTTCTTCAGTTTCTCAGCCAATACAGTCAGGGCGATCTGGCTCTCCATTCCAGTCGCCACCCGACCTGTTTGTGACCGCAGACTCGCCTTCCGTCTAACCCTTAAAGACGGATGATTGAAAACTTAAGTCAAATATAAAAAGAAAACAAAGTTAAATGCAGTATTTCCAACATATGGACGATACTTGGACGGGCCGCCCAGGTATATTTACGGCCCCCCAAGCATTTTTGCCGACCATTTTTCTTTTGTTTTGTCCATATATAATCCCCATCAAAGAAAGAGAGGGAGAGAGAGTCTGAGAGAGTGGTGCATTTCTTAGTGCGCGCTCCCCATGTATGGAGGCTGTGGTCTTCCAAGCGGACGGCCCAGGTTCGAAATCCCGCCTGTGGCTCCTTTCCCGCATGTCATGCCCCACTCTCTCTCCCTGATTTCCAGCTCTATACACTGTCCTATCACTCCATTAAAAGGCACAAAAATCCCTTGAAAAAAATCTTTAAAAAAGAAAACAAATAAAAAATCTACAGAAGCCACTGTATGTATTAAGCATCCAGCACTCAGAGCTAGAAACATAAATTACCTGTACACAATATCCATGTTCATGTCATAAATGTTTACCTTTTAGAAGTGCCTGCAGAACCAGTCACTTCCTCCTCCTCATCCTCATAGTCATCTTCATCTTCAGAGTATGGGGTTTGAGGAGGTATTCTAGAGCGACCAACTCCAGCGGCCAGATCCTCTTCTTCCTGTTAAATCAGAGAACCTCCAAATAAACCTCTAAACACCATCCTGCACCAGAGACATGTTAAGGCTGCCTTAACAAAAGGAACTGGTGTTAGATTAAAATCTCAAATCTTCGTTCTATCAGTGTTACAGTGCAGAGGGAACTGTTTCTGACTAAAAAATAAGAATGACGTTTTCTGCAGCTCCATTCAGCTTAAAGAGAGAGATATGACAAATTCAGACGGACGATTGATGAAGACAGTAACACACAGGAGAAAGTGTGATCTCATATGTCACCCTGAATGTAACACTTAGCTTTTTGCTAGCATAGTTGGAAAAAAAACGGTGTCATAAAAGTGCCCTATAAAAATGAATTGTCTTTCCATGACAAGATGGATCAAATGTATTTCTTAGAATAACGGTTCCCAAAGTTTGTCCAGGCCAAGGTTAGCATGAGCATCTCGCTCTCCCCCTCTTGCAAAATTTCTTAAAATCCTTGTAAATTTGTTGGCAAATACCAAAAAAAAGAAGAGAAAACTACTTCATTTACTTATTTTTGATGAACAATCAATAATAGTAATGTTATAATGTATTCATTTCATCCAGGGTCTTTTTTTGTAAACTGTTTCATACTTTCACACACACGGGAAACAACTAAGAGCTTTCTGAACTGGGATCCAGAAACCGGATTCTCCTCTCACCTGCATTGGAGACTTTGCATAGTTGTGGTTGTCTAGGAAGGCAGGAAGGCGTTGAACGATGGGGTTGGGACTGGTAACCTGCTGAGCACCTCCTCCTGAGGGGACTGGTGGTTTGCCCATGACTTTGGTGTTTCCTCCAGTGCTTGCGGCATGCTTAGTCTGACCTCCGGATTCCTCTGCTGCATCGAAAATGAGAGAACCGTCAATTTCAGATTAAAGTTCCTGATAAACCCGTCACAAATGGCATAATGTCTTTTAACAAAAAAGTGTAGTTTTAGAGCCAATTAATGTACCTGAAGAAGCCTGGTCGGCCCCCTGAGCTGTAACTGGCTCTGCATCTGCCTCTTTCTTGATCACAGCAGTGTTCTCATCAGGAGAGGAAGAGTCCTGCTGCTTCTTGTCATGGACAAGCTCGGGTTGAGTTAGCCGGATCATCTGAAGATATGACAACACACAAAACATATTCCACTAGATATTCACCAATGTTACAGAGAACCTTGTTGGCCAAATTTAAGACACCTTGAAATTTTTACTTGAAAGTACTTCAAATGAAAGTGCATCCAATTAACATCCTGACAAATTAATGTCGCCAAAAGGAGCTAATTGTAATAAAGGATGTGATGATGCGGACCTTCTGCAGACCCTCCAGAACTGTCTGTCGATTCCTCTTAAGAATTTCCAGTTTGGACTCGTACTTCATCCTGCGGTCAGGCACCACTGCCATCAGGTTGAAGCGAATGTCATGATATGGCTCACTGGAAAAGAGCAGAGCAGCAGCATAAGAATGGAGCCCTGGGGGGTACACGTGGAAGGTGAACCACCGCGGCTTGAGCTAGTCGGCTCATGACTCACCCAGCAGTGGCAAGTCCAATCCTCTCCATGATTACTCGCCGAGCTTTATCAGTCCATTCCTCCTCCTCTCCCCATGGTCCTAAGATAGAGTGAAATGTAACACTTAGAGCAGGCAGCAATATTCAATACTCAAGAAATGAACAACACAACATTAAATATGTTGATGCATTCCACAATAAATATGCTATTACAAAACTTAGATCACAACTGACTTCAGGTACATTTTACAAGACAAAGCTAAATTTGCTTGGTCACTTTGGGAGGAGCATTTCATTGTTAAGGGGCTTTGAGAGGAAAAATTATCAGCTAAACTATTGAAGTCATTTCTCTAAAGGAAAATAAACTGGATAATGGTTTTAAGAAGATTTCAGTGTTTGTATGTAATGAAAAAATGCTTAAAAAAAAAAAAAAAAAAGACAGGAATAGATTCTGTAGTCTTACCATGGTCAATGGGGTAAGCCTTGAGTCCATCGAGCTCAAAGAGGCGGTCTTTGATGGGCACATAGCTCACAAAGTGGAAAGCTTCCATGGTCCGCACAGCGCTGATCCCATTCTGTTTCTCTGGCAGGTGCCTGGGCTCCGGTCTCCATAGAAACATGGAAAGAGAACTTGTGAAACTGATGAATTCACAAAGCCTGACATCTCTCACAGTGAAACAGAACAAACAGCAAGAGGATTTTCTTTGTTTACACAGTCAGACTCCTGGAAATGTGAAAAAGAACCAGTGACTGTAACTTACCTGGCATGGCTGTTGTGTGCTCTAGCAAGCTCTGGGGCATTTCCTATTGCGTAACCTTTACTCTGAAAATTCATAAAAGCAAAATCTCAACAAAACAGTGTGGGAAGGAGAAGGGGCAGAGGCTGTGAGAGACTTTTTTTCAACCTTTATTTAACAAAGGAAGAAACTCGTTGAGATTAAGGATCTATTTTCCAAGAGTGTCCTTCTCAAGACAGGCAGAGTTTCAAACAAACAACAAGCAGCCAGTCTTGATGTGTTCCAGTGTTCATTCACCATGATCTGGACAAAATACTAGGTGATTTAGACTTTCTCCTTTTTCAACTAGAACCTGTGTAGCATTTCTCAACTTTGTATGATGTATCTACTGTTACAGCAGAGGAAAAACATCTGGCGGATCACTTTTAAAAAAATGGAAATAACAAGGACAAAACCAAATAACACTTTATGAAAGATATATATGGATAGTTTGAAAAAAAAAGAAACATCTCACCTCTGGACTGAAGCCTTTAGTGAATGCCTTCATGCGACTCAGGGTGGTGCCAAGCTCAACACCGCTGCAGTTTAGCAGCACACTCAACAAAGCGTGGGTGGCACATGAGTTTGGAATCAGCTAGATAATGATCATAAAAAAAAACATGTTTATACACACATATATATATATATATATATACACACAGAGAGAGGGGGGGATGTGCAGATAGATATAGATATACACCAAAAAAATAGAGATAGTTTAAATTACCACTGAACTCTGGACACAGACATTTAAAATAAAATAAATACATTAACATTAACAGTGTGTTGTAATCAAAACAAACTACAAACTCTAATAAAAGACTAAGAAGACCTTACATGTTACAAATGTAATTTTGTATCATTATTTACTAATAATATGAATAAAAAATGACTTGATGACAAAATCAGTTGTTATCTACTGTGCCTTAAAACCACTATTTTGTCAATATTTTTACTTTGACTTCATTGAAATGTACTCAGGAGCATTTCTTTTTCATTACAGACTCATCTCATATCAATTACGTAACAGCTTTAAATGTATGACTCTGGCATTAGGTAACAACTGCCAACATATCACATGAACACTTACCTGATGAGCAAAAAACATATCATTTACAATTTCCTCATCAATGACTGATGTCTCATCCACCAAAGTGTTAACTTTCCTCCTGGATCGCCGTTCCTCAATCCACTTGAACAGGAATATGAAGCCATAGACAGGACTAGAAAATAAAATAATATAAAATACAAGTTACACTTCAACGCTTCATTTCAACAGTGTGCAAGAAAAAGGCTCACTGTTTTCTTTCAGACACCAGATGAAAGTCACCACCTCACATTCTGCATTTAATTGCATGGATGCTCATCAAACAGACCACGATCGGTTCAAGTCACAAACCTTTGACATTTGCTCTGGAGATCATAGATTTCCTCCACTTGGACACCTTTGACACCTTAAGAACAAACGGAGAGATTTTTGTTTACCGACTTTATGAACCCCAGGATTTCTACGTGGAGTTGTATGTGAGGGCTATATAATTTGCAGCTACGTGAGGAGGAGGAGGAGGAGGAAGAGTCGTGTTACTCACCAAAATCCTCCACAAGCAAAGTGAACAGCCCTGAAATTATAAAAAAAAACAGTATTTTAAGATTCAATAACTAGCGTAGAAAAACCATTGCAAAGCCATAACAGTGTGTTTGTGGTGAGGGACCCTGCAAAGCAATAAACACATGAACGCTTAATGTCTAACTACCCACGTTTAAAGAATGAATTACTGCATTAAAGTTATTGTTTTTTTAAATCTTGTTAAACCGAACCGTGCACCGGGCTTAAGGTGGAAGCTAATGTTATCCGTAGTTAGCTGTCTATAGTCGAAATGTTTCACCTGGATCACTCTCGAGTTCCAGCCAGCCTTTGTTCATTTTTGCATTTACGCAGAGCCGTGTGATATTTAAGACGTGTGCCAGTCCATGGCGAGAGGAGGGTTAACAATCTTTAGCGAGAATGTCGTACCCATTTACCAAACAACTGTGTAGGGCTCAAGATAAACACAATAGAGAGATTTAGCCGCCTACAATCTACGTCATCAAAAAACGACGGGTGGTGGAAAGAAAAGAAAGAAAAAAAAAAACAGTCCTGTCCGCGTTACACAAATCACTGGAATCAATATTTGACTCATTTTATCATCATTATATAAATGAAATAACAGAAATACATTTCTAAAATATTTTTTAATATATAAAGAGGGTGAAGATAAACAATGGATAACAAATAAGGAGGGGATTCATAAGTGTACTCCTACTTGAAGAAACATTTGGGAAATTTAACGAATTCAAATTGCACTATAAAAGATAAATAAATAGTAAATGTATTTGTGCACATACATGTGAGTGTTTTCTTTCCTTTCTACTTTTTAGTTTTCTGTTTCTCTCACATTCCTTATAAAACTAGAGATGGCTGAGCAGTCCTAGTAGTAGGCTATAAAATAAGTAGTAGTATTAGTAGTAGTAAGAAGTAGGTAGTAGTTCCTATAAGTAGTAGTTAATAATGGTGGTGGTCATTATTATAAAATTGCATCGTTGCCGGGCTTTTTCACTTCCGGAACCTTAGTTGTAGCCGGTCCTACGGGGACGGTATTTATGGTTACACTGGAAAAAAAAATTGGAAATCACCAACGTTTATCCGATCATTTTAATCGTAACTGGACCAATAAATGATCGATAGTTGTATGCACACGGAGGTTTTTGAAGACTAAAGTGTAGCTGCTTACGAGGTAAGCACCAACCATCGAGTCTGTCGTCTTACCGTGCCGAGAGTGTTAGCCTTGTATGAACACAGGCTAGCATTAGCTACTTGAACGCAACACCTACACAATGTAAGATTGTTATCTTTCCGAAGCAGCCAAACAACTGGTGGCAGAAATCGTGGTTCTTTTTCCGACCCAAGTAACAACCAGCCATCCTGCATTTCTACCACTTGTGGATGATGATAAAAACAAATCAAATGTGTTGGTGTTAGCGTTTGTATTCGCGTTTATTGTTGTGTAATTAGGGAGCATTTTGGTCTGCAGATCAATGATATGAGTGTGTCTTTGACTAGTTAGTACCAGTGTGTACCTTCGAGACACTAAAATGAGATGCCAGATATTATGTAAACTAACAACAAAAACACACAGATGTGTTGCAGGGGTAGCTCACTGCTACTTGCTAGCTGCCTCCATCCTTGTCTTGAAAGCCTTTAGGAGTCATCCTGATCAAGGGTTCATTATGTACAAAGTAAAGCTGAGATTACCATCGGGTAATAGAATATAATATAATTACTTTTATTGATCTCAAACTGGGAAATTGTGGCGTTACAGCAGCAGGTTATCCAAACACACAATGTGAGTAAAAAAAAACACAATGTTAGCAAATCTAAACATAATATAATATTAACTACAAAGTAAATATGTACAAAAAATATAAAAACTAAGAATGTGAATACATATACAACCAGGATTTAACTAAGCATTACTAGTCTTAAATAGGAAGATTAAATGTAAATGTGCAAAAACAGAGTCGTAAATGGACAGTATTGACATAAGTTAAAGTGCATGAGTGTAGACATGTGGTAAACAGAAACTATACAATATAACAGCGAGAGACAGATGAAGAGTGCAGGGATCATTTGTAAATTTACAGAACAGGTTACAGTATGGAGAGACAGATATTATCCTTTAAATAAGGAATTCTTTGACTATCATGTTCTGATATAGATGGCTAGTATTTAACTACTGTGAACATCATGTAGGATAATAGTCTAATTTGGATAGACCACATAAAGGACTGCCTCTAAACAGTGTGACTGAAACATGGTTATGTATTTGTCTTTTTTAATATATGTTCATAAGCAAGTGAAGGAGGAATCGGAAGCACCTGGTCTGTCCATACGTGGAGACCATGACAAAGTTAAACCCGTCAGAGTCATTATTCATGCTGACCTTTATTCTTGTTTGCATGTTAGCAGCTCTGAAGTAGCCTTCCGTCCTCTGAGGACCAGTTTTAACATTATTTTGTTTTATTTTCTGTCCAAGTCTGAAACATGTGTGCAGCTCCTTGTCATCAGCAGATCGGTTGAAATGCTCTTGGTTTATGATCTTTAATGGATAGTCGTTTGCATTACACTTACTTTATTTTGACCTGAAATTAGATTATGATAAGGCTTTGCAGAGAACTGGTCTAATAAGCCATAAAACAGTCCACAAGTTGAGATTGAAAAAATAGTCTCTTTATTAAGACATGAGGGGTTAAAAAAAAAAAAAAGTGCTCACAGTGCAAAAAAGTTACACCATTGTGAAACAGACCCAACTACAAAAAGTAAAATAATTTGCATTTTTACAGTTGATTATCAGTGCAACCATGTGTGAATTACAAACCCCAAAGCTTGCTGTAAGGTGTCATCAGATACCATACACCATTGTAATACATGTGATGTTTTCATATATCAGGGCTCCTGATGAAGGTGTGCAGGTAATACTGTGAAAGCCTTTGTAAGACGCCATGTCTGAAGAGGCGATGTCAGACAGTGACCTGGAGCCCAGCCTTAACAGTGAAGATGAGGATTTGGAAAATGAAGAAGAAGAGGAGGACATGGAGGAAGATGAGGATGACAATGATGGGGATGATGAAGAAGATAGTCTTGGTGAGTAACATATTAACTACTGTCTGTATTGCAGTTTATTGTGTTTACCAACAGTGATTCATTTACAACCATCTGAGAACAGGAAGAAGATTGTTGTGTTGTAAAATATGAACATAGCTGCACTTCAAGACTTGCATCGGTAGTATGAATTTATAGGTCATTTAGGAGGATATGTAATAGTATGTTAATATTAGACATCATTGCCTGTCATCTTGTAATTTGAGGCATTTCAGATAAACACTCTCTACTCCTTCTCAAGAACGACCTGCAAGTGCCCAGAGCAAGGAAGATGCAGCCCAGGATGGCCAAGACTCCACCTCAACTACCTCCGAAGAGCCATCCTCGGAGCCGGCATCCTGTCCATCTTCCAGGCCTCCCTCCAGGCCTCCCTCTGGACCTGCCTCCAGACCTGCCTCTCGCTCTCAACCTCCAGGCAGCCCAGAAACATTGAGCCAGAGCAAGAAACCCTCCAGCAAATCAAAGAAGCAAAAATCCTCTAAATCAACCAAATCTTCAAAGTCTTCAAAAGGCTCCAAACCTTCTAAGCCTTCTAAACCTGTACACATGAGGAAGAATATCAGGTACATTGATCTACTTTTTTTCCCCAGCAGGTAAAAACATCACGTATTCTGGAGAAGTTTGTATTTAAACTGAACTTTTTCCTTATGCTTACAGAAAGCTGCTGAAAGAGGATCAGCTGGAGGCTGGGACCAAGGCAGCTCAACAAGAGGAGATGGAGAGGCGGAAACGTCTGGAGCAGCAGCGGAAGGACTTCCCTACACCTGCTGTCCCAGAGTCCCAGCTTGGTGATTACCCCTCTTTCTTTGAAGCCACATCTTTTCACTCATGTATGATTTTTACTTTTTTTGAGTATTTGATAGCCTTATTTTCCACTAACCTTCCCATGTCTCAAACAGTGGACACTGCGTCACTTTTAGGAGAAGTATCTCACTTGGTCCCGGCTCTCCTGAGCAAGCAGGATGTGATCTGTCTGGACAGCAGCGGCGATGAAGATGAAGAAGGGGAAGCCAAGCTGCCTGCGCTTGCCATTAGAGATGGTAAGTTCTAAATGTGTTAAACTATGTAGATTCCAGACTGTATGAGTAATGAGCATGTTGTCACACACACAGCGTTTCCTTCTCCTGTTATGACGCAGATGTAATTGAGCTGAGCTCGGGGGATGAAGATGCCCTGCAGATAAGCAGCGAGTCTGCCGACGAGGATGCTGACGGCACTGCAGGCTCACAAGAGAGCAGCGGGGCGCATATCAACGACACCCAGAATATGCCTGACGCCCAGGGTCGCGTGCTGGTTAATATCAATCACCCTGCAGAGGAGAAAGACATTTACCTCGCTCCACAGTTGGCCAAGGCAGTAAAACCTCACCAGGTATTCACATAATCACACCCTCCCTTAAACTCTGCTAAACAGAAACCCTCACTAATAAACAGCCTTGCTGGTTCACCTAAAAACATTTGTTTTCTTATTTTTTTTAAGATCGGGGGAATCCGGTTTCTCTATGATAACCTCATCGAATCACTGGATCGGTATAAGTCCAGCAGCGGGTTTGGCTGCATCCTGGCTCACAGCATGGGTTTGGGAAAAACTTTGCAGGTGATATCTTTTATCGACATCCTACTGAGGAATACGGAGGCTCACACTGTGCTGGCCATCGTTCCTGTGAGTAATCAGAGTTTATACAGACTGAGCACATATTCATGTTCTTCAAAGCTTTTTTTTTTGTTTTTATTGAGTGAAATCTTTGCTTTATTTTTATTTTTTAAAAAGGTGAACACACTTCAGAACTGGTTGACAGAGTTTAACCTCTGGCTCCCTCCACAAGAAGCACTTTCCCCGGACATTGACCCCGCATTTGTCGCAGGCCGCACATTCAAAGTTCACATCCTCAACGATGAGCACAAGTAGGTTCCATGCTGTGTATTCTTTAATGTAACGTTTTTGGTTAACAAACGTTTAGACTAATCCCCCTCACTGTATGACCTGCAGAACCACCTTAGCCAGGGCCAAGGTGGTGGAGGACTGGTCCAAAGGGGGAGGGGTGCTGCTGATGGGTTACGAGATGTACCGCCTGCTCTCCATGAAGAAGAGCTTTGTAATGGGCAAGAAGAGGAAATCAAAGAAGCCCGCAGGACCAATCATCATCGACCTGGACGAAGAAGATAGACAACAGGAGCTCATGAGAGGTCAGAGAATGTCAGAAACACATAAAAACAAACAAATGCACACATGATGTACCTTTTTTCTATTTTTTTAACACCTTTTCCTTTGTTATTTAATCTCCATAGGTATAGAAAAATCCATAGCACGGCCCGGCCCAGATGTGGTGATATGTGACGAGGGTCATCGCATTAAGAACTACCATGCCAGCACATCACA